CCCCAAAACCCCAAAACCCCAAAACCCCAAAACCCCGCAGTTGAACATAATATTGGGAATATTTAATTCAGAGGAGAAAATGTCATATTCGGTTTTGAATGTGTGATACTTAGGTGTTTTGGTGGTTTTAGGAGCACTGGTACTGAGTAAGGAGTGTTGGAGGTGATCGGTGTAGATTTCAGGATGATTGTGCCGGTTAGGAGGAAGAAAGGGTATGTTGTATGTTGGATCAGTGAGAGAAAGATGAGAGATTTGAAGGTAGGGAGGGAGATATGAGGGATTGGATCGGGTTTGAGGTTATAGAATGGGATTTTAAGGTGGGTGGGTTTTTGAAGAGGGGAAAAATTTTGAGTTTGAGTTGAGTTTGAGAGTGAGAGATGAGGGAAATACTTCATTTAAAGAGTTGGTGTTTACTTGTATTTTTTTAATAAGTCTAGAAAGTCATCACTTAGATGTTGATACTACTTCAAGTTAACATATATTATCAAACTACCCCTATTTCTCTTTCTTGTCCCCAATCCAAGTCAATGCTGAATGAGTTCCTTTCAGAATTTGATCATGTTCAAATCGCCCCATCGACAAAGGAGAGTAAAAATTCTACAAAATTATTAAACTGTGAGAACTTATTAGTACTTAAATTCTCCAATAATTTTTCCAAGATGTTTTATATAAATTTTCCATTTCAATGAATCTCGCATAAAACTTGCTCTTTTTGGAAGAGTCCAAGTTATTAAAAACTCATAACCAGCAAAACCCAAAAATAGAGCAAAATTTTATGGTTTAATAGCCTATTAACTTATTTATAGAAAAAGAAGAAGTCTTCTTCAAAGATGGATCTGAAGGAAGTTATGAGTATCTCTCTAGACCAGAAGGTTATGGACAAACTTAAAGTTGACACCTGAAGTTCAGTAGACTTACGCAAACTTTCCTCTTATAAAGGTAAACTAAGGTGAATGGATAAACCTACTTTTGAAGTAGAGTTATTGCAGCTAGATTTATTGAGAAATTTAAATTATTAAGCTACCTCTCTGGGCGATATCTCTACTTCCCAGCTGATGCTTGGCTTATGTAGAATATTTCATATACTCTTTATTAGGCATTGGGCCAACTGTAATCAGTTATTCATGCAACTGTGGGATCAGTACTCTTATTCACGGTACAATAAAAGTGCCAGAGTAATAGGCTAATAACAAGTGGAATAAATTTTTGGGACCAAGGTTTATAGGATAAGAAAGGATTCTTATTTTCTTCTGAATTCAATTTTCAAACTTTATCATCAGCTGTATTAATTTAGTTAAACTTACTGATGGAATTTTTCATATAAATTTTCACAAGATGTTTTAAAAATTCAATTCTCTGAAAATATAAAAATTATTAAAATTATTACTTAAAAATTCATTGGCATCAAGAATTCTGTGATTATTCAAAGCTGATGTATCACTTTAAATGTTTCTAAGGAGCTTTATCGCTTCAAATTCTTATAGTCATGCTTAAAATTAGTTAATTTAAATTACACAGGAAGTTTGGCAAATTAAGTTTTTATGTCCTTTACTACATTTTTCATCCCAACTCTGGTAAAGAGCCCTTGTTATTGATTTACTTCATCAATCTGCACTTTGGTTCCGATGAACAAGGTACTATTCATAAATAAGAAATTAGTATCAAAAAGTTAGATTTGATCCTAGTGTTTAAATTTAGAAATTTTCTATTTCTTTCCATTAGTAATAAATTTGTGAGGATAATTTTAGTACCTAAGACAAATGATAGTTAATGTCTATAATACTCATTATAATCATAGATAACACTCTTAAACCACATCCTACACAGCATGTTTGGAGGACACAAGGTCTTCTTCCAATGAAGCATCAGAATCTGAAGTGATTTACAAATATTGGAAGGAAAGAACTAGGAGAGATTACGAAGAACAACACTCGGTGGAATTCGCTTAGTAGAAGTTCCTCTCAACAACAGAGGATCCAGAGCCATATAATCAATACAAGTTCTGCTAAATTTGAAGACCTTGATACAAAATGTCAAAGTGAAGATTATGAGAGGAGGAAATTTGAGCCTAAGAAAATGACTCGCAAGGTGAGGTTCTCCCTCTAGGCCCTTTGTCATAACCTCGTATTAATCTATCTCTTGTATTTAAATTTTGTTAAAAAATTGGATTTTTTATTCAGGTTGTTCAAATTTTTCAATTCTTCTGTTAAGGTTCAAAAATTTTGAAGGCAACTAAATTCCTTCCTTAAGTTTCAATTCAATTTTTATTCAAGAATATGACCAAGCAACCACTTTCAGTGCTGAGAAGTAGACTTAGGATTAATTAATAGGAAAAATTCTAATGCCTAAAAGAGGTGTATAAACCTTTAAATTTAAGAATAACCAGGTTCTAGACACTCTGTGTACTATCTATAAGCTTCAGTGCTTCCTTAGCGATGGAATGCAAACTTTTAAGCCCAAGTTTGCCCTCAAAATCCCAACTTAGCTAGATTGCTGGCTTTCATACGACTAGTTATGAAATAACTTGAACAACCTTACCTAGATTTGTGTTGATTTCATAGAAAAGGAAGATAGAGAGGCTGAAGCTTGTTATAATTCCATTCTTTAATGCTTTCTTAAAGCATTGTATTTTCTTGAAATCCTCCTCGTCCTTGCTTTCATTACAGTTCCATAATTTTATCTGGGTGTTGTATGTTCGAAAAGTTGTATGAAAATTTCAAAGAATTCAATGAAATTTTCATTTATACTCTGAAATTTGGGCGTAGTAGCAGGCCTGAAAATGCTAGATTTTAAGCTGAATTGGAAGATCTAAGGACTCCCCTTTTGCCATTAGAGCAAGTATGATGTAAGTGCTATGGTAAAGATTTATTTAGGTTTAATGACTTCTTTTTTGAAATTTCGCAATGAAATCTTCCAGAATTTATAGAAAAAAACAATGTTTACGCAAGAAAATTAGAAGGATTGATTAGGTTAATTTCTCTTTATCAGAGTTAAATATCTGTGTTTTGGGGATATATTAATAGGATTGGAGTAAGGAGTTTAGTGAGAAGGAGTAGGATTGAATGGTTCTATTGAAGAAAGCAGCATAGAGTACTGTGAAAGGATCGAGAAAAAGTGGATATCAAGATATATGTTAAAGTCCTACGTTCAACATTCCCTCATCCCGAAGGGGTTTTGGGGTTTTGGGGTTTTGGGGTTTTGGGGTTTTGGGG